GCTTGAGACTTCCTGGTTCTGGATTTGGTAGCATATGACAGCTTTCTGAGTGACTTGTGGACTGCTTTTTGTTGAGCTTTCTTCTTCCTGCAGAGTGGGTGCCTGACCATGAGGCCTGTGGATATCATGACTTATCCCATGCAGTGGCATTGCTGCATACCTGTGTTGTGGTGGATCCGACCTTGGTTTTCCCTGCATTTTGTCCCGACTCTGTGTAACTTCTGTGGTCTGCCAAATTCACTGTGTTCACTTGCGCATGCTTGCTCCCATGTCTACACTTCCATGCTCCATGCTTGCTCTGTGTGCTGGCCAACACTCTTTTTCACCAGTCCGCCCTCCTGCTGCTCAATCCTTACTCCATCCTCTCCCATCTAGCTCCCCCCTTGGAAACCATTTCCTTACTCTCTCCACTCGTTCCTGGCTCTTCCTCTAGGCCCTATCCTGACTCTTCTGTTCTGTCTCTCTTCCTCAGCTCTCGCTCTGGGCTCTATCCCTCTTGCGTCTCTTCCACCTGTCCCTTCCAGCTCTCCCTGGGTGTGTGCCTCCCTACGCTTTCTTTGTACTCTCCATTACGTATTCCCGTCTTGCCTATCCTGTTTACTCTTCTCTCTTGTTCACCATCCCCACTTTTCCTCTCTCGTCTCCCTCGTCTCCCTCGCCTCCCGTGTCTCCCTCCTCGCTCCTTTCGCTGCTCTTTCCCCCTGCTTCTTCTTTCCTCATCTCTATAGTCGAAGAGTGCAATGTAACAAATGATGCAGTCGTTTAGCAGCTTCCACTTCCTGCCGCTTACCTCGGAAGCAGTTGTTTGGCAGCTGATGTAGAAGAGCTGGTGTTGCCTCCCTGTTTCGAGTTCAGATTCCTTCCTCTCTCTCTCTCCATCTATATATATATATATATCGTCAAATATATATATATATATATATATCGTCAAATATATATATATATATATATATCTGTCTATCTATCTATCTATCTCGCCTTAGTGTCCTCACATGTTTGTGCATCAAATCATACCTTGTCCTGCATTCGATTGACAAAAAGATATGAAGGTACTGACAGGCTTGTCTGGAGTCTCACAGATGTTGCTTGTGTGGTCTGGCTCTGTGTCTTTGCTCTCGGACGGGTCCATATGCTGGAAGAGTTGTCTCTCCACTTTAAGTGCAGCGTGCTTACGTGATGATTATGTGAACAGGTGAGCTTTTCACCCGCCTAGAGTGTGGTGGAGGGGAAAGGGATGAGTCAAGAATCGAGATGCTTGGAGAGTGGGGACAAAAGGGGGATATTGATGCCTGTGGGGGATTTGGGGAGGGTCTTGCTTTACTATGGTTTGTCCTCGTTTGTAACTTGGGTTTGTTTTTGTTTGCAACTTTGTGGGTTTGTTTTTGTTTGCAACTTTGTGTAAATCCTTTGTATGACATCAGATCTCTATTTTGGTTTAATGCGAGGGGTCACAATCTGAGCTTTACCAATGGGCCTAGCTCAGTTGGTACGGCCATGAACTGTTGAAATACAGACCCAAGATAGAATCCAGACACAATCAGATGAACAGAATAATGTAATTCTGAATTACCTGGGTCCGGTCAGTGCAATGATGATATCTCAAGCCCGCCATCCTTTCAAAAAAAAAAAAAAAAAAAAAAAAATCTGATCCTTGGAGTCGAGAGTCTACAGTTTGTGGCTTAATGTCCTAAGCCTTGTGAGAATCTGAACTTTAGAGAGATTCAAAAGGAAAGAACTGTTTGATATGGTGCTCATCCTCCTAATCTGGGAAGAGGAGGGTGGCATTGCTATTGATAATGAGTCATTGTTTGGTTTGTGGGTTTGGAGTGTAAGAGCGAGGGGTAGTTCCTTACGTTGGTGGGATTTTGTGAGATATGAACTCTTACTTCATGGGGGAATGGATGAGATTTGAACTCTGAACTATTGGGATAAATATTGTGAGGTATGTACGGGTACACTGACAGTTAGTTGAACTTCATTCCTTCGATATGTTTTCCACCGACATGTGTTGGCAGGTCAGCAAGGCAAAAAAGAGGAGGCTGGGAAGGGTGCAGAAGACAATTGGAGACTATTGCCTACTAGCTGGATCTCCTGTGGATGCCCATGCACATTATACTACTGCAATAGAGCTCTCAAGACTCACCAGTGACTCCTTCTGGTTGGCTGGCGCACTCGAAGGAATAGTGTGTGCTGCTGTGGTAGGTGAGGGACGGACAAGGGAGGGAATGAGGGAATGGCAATGGGTGAGGGAAGGAGGGAGGGAGGAAGTAGGGGAGGGAGGGAGTGGGGGAGGGAGAGGGAGGTCTCTAAGGAGGCAATGTACTGGTAGACTTACAACTTGCTAAATCAACACCTCAAAGATGAATTGTCATTGCATGGAGATACACGAGGGACAGAAAGAGGGAGGATGTGAGGGAGGGAGGGAGGGGGGAGCTGATGTTCATGATGCGCTATTGCACATGCAGAACGTGTTTCCAATTCCTCAATATGTTTAATGGACAGGTTCCTTTGATGCCAAATTTACTCCGACTTCGTGGCTGTTTTTCTTTCCTAGTTTCGGCTGTTGAACATTCAGACTACTGCCAATAAGCTGATCTCTGACTCATGTCTGTGCTTCGTACTGTTCACGTGAAGTTAATAGCCAAACTGGGCTGTTCCCCATTGATTCATGTGGGTCCGTCTTTCCATCTGCAATTGTCGCTGTCACGAAGGCCTATGTCATCTCTCTTTACACCATTCTAGCAGCATGGATTTTCTCTGTACACCATTCTAGCCTCACTTATGGATATTTCAAAGATTCCTTCTTTGTTTCTGCAGGAGTCGATGTGCTGTCACAAATGACTACATTAAGAGAATGCATGTGTGTTGCCCAATCTCTGGTTGTGCTATGCCTAAAAGTAGCAGTGGAAATCTGCGAGAGGCATGGCGCCTAAGGTTCTGTAGACGTCTCGGATTTTTGCATGAACACTTCGCAGAAAATTAATTAGTTGGTTGATAATCAGAGAATTACTTGGTTGCCACACAACTTGCCAGGTCATACTGTTCCACAGAATTGAATAGTCCACATCACTGATTATTAAGTCTGTAAATTGTTAAACTTGGGTTAAACTTGTTTTCCAAGAGAATTGATCTGTAAATGGTATGAGAGTCATGTGTTGAGTTCCAGAGTCATGGATATGGAATAGGACTGCGTGAGGAAGTATGGAATAGGACTGCGTAAGGAAGTAACTCAAGTTAAGTCTCACTCCCGCCGTCCTTTTCCCTCTATTCAATATCTTAATCAATGACATTATGGAATGGGGCAGGACTTGAGATCTTGACCTGGTGCTCAACGGCTCATTGTGTGTGAGGTCTCTGCTTACTCACCAGGAAGGTACTTAGGCGCAGCATCTCTTTTATGTCTTCTGACTCTTCTGAGTTTTTAACTTTGTCAAATTGTAACGGTTTTGGCAACCATTTTTTTTTTTTAGTTTTTTGTCTCCTGCCAACTTCTCCAAAGCCTCTATAGAAAAGAACTGAAGTTGCTTCCATCCATTTGTGACTGCCATCGCCACGCTTACCTCATGTGGCTCTCCAGTACCTCATTCGTCATTCGCAGTCTGTTTACAGAAGAGGTTTGATCTCTCAGACTGTGTGTGTGTGCTGTCTTGGTTGTTGCTTGTTGTCTCTCTCCATGTTGTCGGTTTTTGCCAGGTGGATGTTGAGAATAGCAGGGACTCTTCTCTTGAAGATGAAGTGAAGAATCGTTTCCAGGAGATAATCAATCTCTATAGGAGGTAAAAAAACACGGACTTTGTTCAAAAATACACCGGCGTGATTGTCAGTATCTTGCTGTGAGCCCATTTTTGACCGTCGGATAGGTTCCACTCCTGTTTTCCATTATTCTATAAATAATAACAAGTGGACCCGCCGCGGCTCCGCCCGCGGCGAGAAGAGCAGAGATTGTGAGAAATGAGGAGAGGGGGAAGGCGATAGAAGATGTAGAGATGCAACGTTTCATGTGGACGCCAAAAAAGGAAGATTTTGTTCCTCGGTTACCTGTTTTCCCTGTTGTACCAATTGTTTGTATTCAAAGAGGAAGCGAATAGAATTGCTGTCTGTTTGAGATCAGAGCAAGGAAAATCATGATGCAGGTGTACGTGTGATCGGGGTGTGTGTGTGTGTGTGTGTGTGTGTGTGTGTGTGTGTGTGTGTGTGTGTGTGTGTGTTTGTGTGTGTGTGTGTGTGTGTATGTGTGTGTGCATGTATAATTGGTCGTCGCCCCCATCCCGATCCCCCTCCGAGTTCTGTCTCCCCCGTCCCCTATCCCGACATCCCCGCCTCCATCCCCCCATCTCGAATTCGTGGCCGACCCAGACCTCCGGATCACACCCATCCTCCATCCCGATCTGGATGCCGGTCTCCGTATCTGGATCTCCTCGGCCGACCCCCTCCATCCCGATCTGGATGCCGGTTTCCCCACGTCCCGACCTTGTCGCCTCCATCCCCCATCTCGACCTCGATGCCGACATCCCCCCCCTTCCCCTTCATCCCGATGTCGTCGCTTCTCGCACCCCTTTTCCCTATCCGGATCTCTTCACCCCCATCCCGATTTCCCTCTAAGCTCGCCCCCATCGCCCCATCCCGAATTCGTGGCCTACCCCGACCTCCGGACCGCCCCCATCCCGATCTGGATGCCGGTTTCCGTATCCGGATCTCCTCGGCCGACCCCCTCCATCCCGATCTGGATGCTGGTTTCCCCACGTCCCGACCTTGTCCCCCCCATCCCCCATCTCGACCTCGATGCCGACCCCCCCCCTTTCCCCTTCATCCCGATGTAGTCGCTTCTCGCACCCCTTTTCCCTATCCGGATCTCTGCGCCCCCATCCGGATTTCCCTCTAAGTTTTCCCCCATCGCCCCATCCCGAATTCGTGGCCTACCCCGACCTCCTGACTGCCCCCATCCTCCATCCCGACCTGGATGTCAATTTCCCCACATCCGGAGCTCGTCGCCCCGATCCCCGATGGCCGACGCCGACCTCCGGATCTCCCCCTCCTCATCACGATGTCATCCGGACCTCTTCCTCGTCATCCTGTTATCGACGCTTTGCCCCCATCCCGACCTCTCCCCTTCCCCCATCCCGACTTCGATCCCGATGTCGTCGCTCCGGATCTCGTCGTCCCCATCCCGATCCCCCTCGCAGTTCCCCCTCCCCTATCTCCTATCCCGACTTCCTCGCCCCACATGGCCGACCTCGTCGCCCCCATCCCCCATCTCGACCTCGATACCGAATTCCTCCTTCCTCCTTCCCTATCCCGACCCCCCTCCTTCCCCCATCCCGACTTCGATCCCGATGTCGTCGCTCCGGATCTCGTTGCCCTCATCCCAATCCCCCTCGGAGTTCCGCCTGCCCTATCCCCTATTCCGACCTCCTCGCCCCCGTCGCCCCATCCCGAATTCGTGGCCGACGCAGACCTCCGGACCGCCCCCACCCTCCCGACCTTGTCGCCCCCATCCCACCCCGTTTCCCTATCCGAATCTCGTCGCCCCCATCCC